TCAGAGGCTGGAAACCTTGCTCCCCTGACTCTGGGGAGGCCCTGCCGCCCCCTGTCCCAGGCCTGCGGGGGTTAAAGCCCCTCATAGCTCAGGGTGGGCTCCACATGCTGCTGACTCCAGCCTGGACTGCTTCCTGGGGCCGGCATTCCCAGGGCGCCACTGGAGTCCAGGGCAGCCACAGCAGTGACCGGAGGGTGGGGGGGAAGGGGCGGCAGTGGGGGGGCGCTAGGGGTGAAGCCCTATCTGGGGAAGGGCACTCAGACCCCTGAGCTTCACATCCTCAGTGGAGAGGACCACGCATGCGCCCGCCCTGAGCCCCCTGCTGGTCCCGACCTGGAAAGGCTGGGCATCGGCAGAGTGGGAGGGGGCACTTGGTCAGCTGTGGGAGCAGATGACAAGGGTCCCCACGACCCCCACCCCGTAGACACATCCTTTTCCTTCTGAGCCCACACCCCTGCTCCCAGGCCTCAGGCACCGGGCGTGTGAACCTGACCCGTGCACCCCGTTGGTCAGCCGCTCCATTTGGAAAGGCTCTGATTGGAGCGACCCTGTTACAGAAAAGACACAGGAGGGGGGCCAGGACAACAAGGACTCGGTGGGGGGCAGGGGGCACAGACGGTCTCAGGCGGTAAATTGGTCACACAGTATGAACACGGGCTGACAAAGACAGAGCCAGAAATACACTCACTGGGTGACATCACAGTGACGCCTGTGCTCACACACGTACACACAAAACTAGGTCACCTGGGATCTCTGAGAGAGGGAGGAATTGTGCCTCCTCGCGGCCCTGGGCCTGCAGCTGGGGCGTGGAGTGGGGCTGGGGAGAAGTGAATTCACTCTAGGTCCGGTGTTCAACTGCCATCTCTTGGGATGTCTCGGACCCGGGCCCCGAGCGGCAGGACCCTTAACGGAGGATGGCAGTGCGCTGTCAGCTCAGGACCAGAGGAGGGTCCAGCGTGACGGGGAACAGACCATCCCTGGAAGGGCCGTGACTGGGGCAGGCCGGCCAGCACACAGAAGGGTTGCACAGAGGCTGGCTCTGGCTCTGCCGGGCCCTGGGGAGACCAGCGAGCCCTGCGTGGCTCTCCTTCGTGGTTTCGAGGGTGTAGGGATGCTTGCAGCCACCCCTACTGGAGGCGGGCCTGCTGCCTTCTGGAGTGGGGGCGGGAGTTAAGAGGGCTAGTTGAGGGTGGCGGCGGGGGGGTGGGGAGATGCCAAGTCTCTGAGCATCTGCTTCTGCATGGGTATTTCTGCGTGGGCACCTCTCGCCCACTTCTGCATCCATGGCCCTCATGGAGGCCACGGAAGTCATTCCGGGGACGGGGGGTGGGGAGGGGGTGCCTGACCTGGGTGGGAGTCCTCGCTCTGCTGGTTGCGTCTGCCCCTGGGCAAAACCGGCCTCTCCCTGTTTCTGCTTCTACATGGGGAGGACCCAGTTCTCCTGTGTGTGTGCGTGTTAATGCCCCGGGCACACACGTGACACTCTTTGGGGCTAGAGAACAAGAAACTCTATAAAGGGTGCATTTTGTAGCTACATGACCTCAAGATTCCTTGACTCTGTGGACCTGACTGAGAAAGAGCTGAAGGGCGCCCCTCCCCTTCCCCGTTTCCTGAAGTCTCAGCAGCCCCCGGGGCAGGCAGCACCCCAGCCCCAGAGGAAGCAGGAGAAGCCCCCCGTCCCCGGGGTCAGAAGGGTCAACGTCCCCAGGGCACAGAGGAGCGGCCTCCTGAGATGGCTGGGCTGAGGGGTGGGGAGGGGCATCAGAGAAACCCACCCCTTTCCCCAGGCCTCCCCCTGACCTGGCGGCTCCAGGGATCCAGGGCCAAGTGGCCCCCACACAGTGTGGCGCGCCCAGTGCTGGGGCAGGAGCCAGACCACCTTCTGTGCAAGGCTCGGGTGCCAGCCCATAGCTGTCATACCTGCCCGCCCGGCCTGAGGCCCAGGGCCCCGCAGACCCGGCCCAGGAAGCTGGTTAGGCCCTCAGCTCCTGTCGCCCTCAGTCCCTGGTCCAAGCGGCTGGAGGGGTGGTCGGGGTAGAAGAGGCCTAGCTGTGAAGGGCCGGGTGGGGCCCCAGGGAGCCAGGGAGGCCGGCAGATTGGAGGGGAGGGCTGCTCAACTGAGGAATGGAAGCTTGGGCCGAGCAAACCAAGTGCCAGGGACGGGAGTTCTCTCTCGAAAATGACAGTGACGGGTGACCAGGAACGCGGCGTGCCGGGCGTGGGGAGCAGCGGGCGGAGGGGCAGTGGGGGCCCTGGCGTGGCCCCCTCCCTCTGCGACAGGAGCGTGGGGGGGTGGGGGGCGTGTCTACACCAGGCTCCTGGAGCCGCTGGAGCAGCGACGTTGGTGCAGCAGGGAGCCGGGCGGGCAGAACTGGTGCGGGTGGTTGTAGGGGGGNAGGCAGAGGTGCTGGGCTCGGGCGGAGCCCAGAGACAGCTATGTTCTGCTCCAGCCGAGCCTCCTGGCTCCTGTCTGTGGGGTGGTCAGTTGGACCAGTGGACTCAGGTTATGCAGTTTGACCTCACAGACCTTCTGGGCGGCCCTGGGCCACGTGGGAGCACCCACCAGTCTCCCCACCGGCCTCAAGCTGGAAAAGCAGGAGTATCTCTACCGCCTCCCTGTCTCCCAGGGGTGTGCTGGGGACACAGGGACAGGGTCAGGAGGCAGGTGGCTTTCAGCCTTGCAAGCCCCTCCCCTCCCACCAGCTTTGTTAAAGCAAGGCCTCATCGTCACTGTGGAATCACAAAGGTGTCAAAACCCCGAAATTCCAGGGACCCCAAGGGGCAGTCTGGACATGCCCCATCCTCCCAGACTCCCCAGGGCCATGCCCACACATTCAAGAGCAGAGTCCAGCCACAGTCAGGCCCTCAGCTGCCTTTCTGGCCCAAGCTGGGTCCTGGAGAAATCTGTCCTGCTGCCAGAGGGGGAACCCAGAAAGGACCCCTATTTTTCCCCCTGGGTTGGATTGTGAGGGGTGGCCCCTCCCTCCATGGGCACTGGGGACTAGCCTGTCCTCCTCTTGCTAGCAGGGATGGTAGAATAAATAGCAGGATTCTGGAAGGAGGAGGGTTTAAGTAATTCCTCATTCCTCCAGCACTCCACCTTGTAGATGTGACACACAAGCCTTTCTGGACCCTTGGACCTTTCCAGGGGTGGCTGAGACTCTTACCTCTGGGGTTGCTCCCGACAGTCCTGGGGGCATCACCCCTCAGGCTCAGGATGGGGGAATACCAAGGCTGCAAAGGAGCCTATAGCCAGGCTAAACCACGATGGCCCTGCCCTACACTATCGCAGAGCTCTAAGCCAGCAGGTCCTGACCCTATTTACTGGCAAAAGGTGCAATGTCAGGAACTCCCCCTTCCTGGGTCCGGGTGCTGCCCTGACGGGTTACTTGGCTCTCCAGTCCTGCTCCTTATCCCCCCACTCCAGCCCCGCTTCTTTGGTTTTCACAAGCCCCCACCTCCAGGGTCTTCAGGCCGTGGGCTCTACTCTCCATTCTCAACCTTTACCTTGGCAGCGTTTTCTAGGCCTGAGCTTCTTCCCCCCACTACTCCCTGCCCTATTCCAACAAAGCAGTCCCCAAGCCCCTCAGTGCCCAGACAGGGCAGAGCAGGGCTGCGTCTCCCTCCCTCTGGAGGAGTCCTCTGTGGTCCTCATTGCGACAGAAGGCTTCCTTCCATCCGCTGGGGGGTGGGGGTGGGGGTGGCGGCTCTTTTCCCCACCTGCTTTGAGTTATTCTGAGTTATTCCCCCACTCTATTCTACTCTATTCTGAGTTATTCCCCTAGAGGAAGTGGCCTGAGACCATGGGGTCAAGCTTTCTGCTCACTGCCCGCAGACTTTACCGCAGCCCCTCTCGGGGCAAACGCCTGACTATCCAGTTCAGACTCTTGAGCCCCGCTGGGGCCGCAGCTCTGGTCTCACCCTGCACCTCCTCCTCCGCTCCCTGTCCCTGATCCCCGCTCCGCTGTCTGCACCTCCGTCTGCCCCACCCAAGCTGGCCCATCCTTATCTTTAATAGTAAAGTGAAAAGCAAGAAGTGACAGCAGAACATTCTGTCATTCTGACCGCCCCCCCTTCCTGCTGATGAAAGAAAGAAGAGAGAGAGAGGGGAAGGGATGGAACATGAGTAGCAAGCCTGACAGCTCAGACAAGCTGGAGAAGCGCCTGCCAGCAGGCGGCCAGGCAGTGACTGGGGTGGGGAGCGGAGGACGCGGGGAGCTTGGGGTCCAGCAGAGAGGTGGGAGGCAAGGCTACCCTCGGTGCAGGGGAGCGGAGGCTGGCGGGGCCCTGGGGCTAGCCTTGCAGATAGCCACGTGGCCCTCTGGACCAGGGGAGGACGGGGCGAAGGGCCCCCAGACCGTGGTCCTCCCTGGGCAGGGGCTCGAAGGCACGGGCAGGGCTGGTAACTTGCGGTGTTTATCTGCAAGGCTGGAGAACGGGCAGCTGCAGGAAGATGGGCAGGGGGGTGGTGGTCGCGGAGGATGGAATACCCACCCTGGGGGCTTGCCAGCTGCTGGGGCAGGAAGCTCCTCCGTGTGAAGGTGCCTCCTCCAGACACAGGTGTGTGGGGGGTGGGGGCCACGGGGAGAGTGAGGGTGTCCTGGGGCTTCCCCGAGCTCAGTCAGGCTGGGGGCAGGGCTCCTCCCCCCAGGGCCCTAAGAGGGGGCTCCTCCAGCTTGGAGTGGGGGGTCTGTGTGAGCATGAGGGACCCTGGAGGCCTGGCAGAAATGAGTGAGGGGCTCACGGGGGTCCGAGGGGAGCCAGTGGGGAGGGCTGGGGTCCCCAGGCTTGCAGGGTGACTGCACGCCCCCTCCCAGGTGGCGCTCCAGGGCTGGCAGGGACCAGCTGCCACTGCCACTCCACCAGTCCCTTCCATCCAACTTGGAGGGTCTTCAGACACAGCAGCGCCCACCCCACCCTTCCAAGGAGAAGCCCTAAGACAACCCCAGTCCCACCTTGCCTCACTTTCTCCCACATATCCCACCCCATGGCCAGCTTTCCAGGTGGCTCAGCTGTGTTGGGCAGACACTGTACCCTCCCAGCCGTCCCCACTTTCCCCAGAGGCTTCAACTTGGGGACTGGACCTGAGGCGTGATTCTCGGAGGGGCCAGGCTCCCTCCACAGAGGCTAGCAGGATGTGGGAGGGGGACATGGGGCATCAGGACCATAGCATGTGTGGGGCGGTGGGTTTAGGAGACCGTGGAGGGATGCAGTGGGGGTGCGAGGGGCTTCATCTGCACGTGTTAGTCTGGGAGCTCAGCCTGGGGGGCTCAGTGGGCTGGGCGTCCAGGGAACTGGAGGGGGCACTGCGGCTTAATTAGGCGCTGGAAGAGTGCATTACCCATGCTAGCAGTAACTTTTAATTGTATCTCTTGAAATTGGTAATATGGTGAGTCGGGCTGGGGAGGCATTGATTAAAACCTGAGAAGAGAAACAACAGAGACAGTGAGAAGAGGGCGGGGCACGCAGACACACTCACCTGGGCAACCAGGCCTCCACTCACCTCCACCGCGCTCTCCGCCGCCTTCTCCCCCGCGGCCGCCGCTTCCCTTTTGGCTTTGAATGCAAAGAGCACAGGGCTCACTCTCCACCGCCCTGTTCCTGCACAAAGCCCTGCCTACCACCCCCCCACCCGCCCCATCACACCCCACACCTCCCAACCTGGCATCCTGCTGGAGCCTCCAGGGGCCCCACAACTGGGGGCAGCAACAGACTTGATGCCTGAGCCCAGCTCTGCCACTGAGCAGCTGTGTGACCTTGGGCAAGATGCTACACCTCTCTGGGCCCGTTTTTTCCTTGCTGGGTATTGTCGAATCTCCTTTACCCTATCAGAGCCCCGGACAGACTGTGTGGAGTGGCTGCGAGGAGGCCTTGGTTCTTGGCTCCTGGGGACTCCTGAGTGTCTGTGGCACAGACTCTGTGAGGGAGAGGCCCCGTTCCTTTCTTGTTCCTGCTACCGAGCTGAGTGCTGAGGATTCAGTGAGCTGCATGCGCCCCAGGGCAGAGCCTGGCGCAGCTAAGAGCAGTCTGTGATGGCTACCAGGGATTTCTTTTTTTAAAACTTTTTTTTTTTTGGCCAAGCCCCGAAGCATGTAGGTTCTTAGTTCCCTGACCCAGGAAACAGACCTGTGACCCCTGCATTGGAAGTGCAGGCCACTGGACCGCCAGAGAATTCCTATCTATGAGGGCTTTGTTTTCTTTTCCATTACTTTTTATTGGAGTATAGCTTTACAGGCTGTGTTAGTTTCTGCAGCAAAGCGAATCGCCCATACGTAGACACGCTGCTGCTGCTCACTCAGTCGTGTCCGACTCTTTGCGACCCCATGGACTGTAGCCCGCCAGGCTCCTCCGTCCATGCGATTCTCCAGGCAAGAATACTGGAGTGGGTCGCCATTTCCTCCTCCAGGGGATCTTCCCTACCCAGGGATCGAACCTGCATCTCTTGTGTCTCCTGTATTGGCAGGTGAATTTTTCACCACTGAGCCACCTGGAAAGTCCCATACATATACACACATCCCCTCTTTTTTTTGGATTCCCTTCCCATTCAGGTCACAGCAGAGCCCTGAGTAGAGTTCCCTGGGCTGTACAGTAGGTTCTCATTAGTTATCTCTATTATACATAGTAGTGTATATATATATAAATCCCATTCTCCCAGTTTGTCCCACCCCTCCTTCCTGCCTTGGTATCCATACATTTGTTCTCTACATCTACATCTCTATTTCTGCTTTGCAAATGAGATCATCTATACCATTTTTTTTTTTTAGATTTCATATATATGAAGGCTTTCTGATGGGCCTGGCACACCCTGTGTACCCCCAGGGACAGCTTGAGGACTTCTTCCAACTCAGTCACCCCTGACTCCCACCCCCACCCCCAGCAGCATCCTAGAGCCCTCTGCCAGGGCCCTCTGGTTTCTCACACCCCTGGGAGGGCACCCACTCCCTGCGATGCCCACCCCTCTGCTTTCCGTAACACAAGAGGAAGCTGGGCCAGTGTTTCGAACCGAGGACCCCGCTGGGGAGGGAGCTAATGGACAAGGCCCTGGAGATGCACGTGGGTGGGCAGGAGGCCGGGGGCTGCAGCTACCCCGGGAGATGGGCTGTGCTGCAGAGAGTGGGGCGGGGTGTTCGGGAATCAGCCACAGCTGAGGTCTGACTCCGGGGTTTAAACAGCTGTGAAAACAGGCATGTGCTGTGACCTCAGACATAAAGGGGCCGCTGACAACAGGGCAGGTGGACAATTAGGAACTCATGGTGGCGGGTCAGACCCACACACAGAGGAGACATCACAGTGAGGGTCTCCGTGAGCAAAGCCCGTGCTTGGAAAACCAATCTCATCTCCCAGCAGGTGGGGCTGGTCCTGTGATGCTGTCACAGCATCTCAGCGCCATGGCCATAACCAGGGGGGGTTGGGACCAGCAAGGAGCCCACGGGAGGCTCAGCTCAAACTGACGTCCTGCTGGGAGCCTGGTTTCCCAGGGCTTGGCATGAGGCACACAGCAGGTGCTCAATAAGAGTTCATTACTGTAAGGATGAATGACTGAATTAATTCATTAGCGAAGAGTCCCGGATGGTTTGCTAGGGTTTGTGGGGCTGGGTTTTAATTCTTATGCCACCTCTCCTTCTGATTCCTTTTTCTTTGGGGGCAGGTGGGACGGGAGTGGAGGCCAGTCTTCTCCCTGCAGGTTGGGGGAAGGAGGGGGCCAGAGGTGGAAAAGTAGGAGGGGGCCAAGGGAAGGGAGGAAGAGGTCTACAGAACATGGCCAAAGGTGGCAGAAAATCTGAAGCTGGCTGAATTCATCTGGAGTGAATAATTCAACCTGGAGAAACCATTTGAGACACTGGGTTTGAGGATTCATGTGGGTTTCAGGAGGCCGACTCAGACCTAGGATGAGAGAGTGCTGGTGGCCCCTTAGGAAAAGGTCTGGAGGGGGCAAACTGAGATTTCCAGACCCTTCTGGCCACCTTTCTTCTTTCCTGCTCCCCGCCGCAAACGCCCCCACCCCGCACACCAGCAGTCTGCAGACAGCGAGGGGCCCAGAGTCCCGACACCTCCAGGAGGACAGTGACCTTTGTCAGTGGACACATTTTTCTCTCGCCTTCCACCCGCTCCCATTGCTGAGGCCCCAGGAGGTTGGGCCATGGAAAGCAGCATCTCCCTTGCCCAAATCCCCCAGGACCCCAAGGCTGGGATGTGGGTGGGGCCTCCACGCAGGCGGGGCCCCAGATCTGGAACTCACCTGTGGGCGATCCTTGCTTGGACTGCGGGTCCCCCTGGGCTCCCCCGGCCTTGAAGGAGAGAGTCTTTGTTCCTTGCTGCTTCTCCAGCTCCCCTGGGAAACAGAGAAGCTCGTGAACAGAGAGAAACACAGACCCCAGCACACAGACGGGTGAGAGATGGGGGAGAGTGGGGGGAGAGGGGAGGGTCTCCTGAACACACGGCACCTACTTTCCCACTTCACGGCCAGTTCAGTGCCTGCTGAAGCCTCAGTTCCCCCTCCAGAGGCAGGGATGCCAGCCCCTGCTCTGACAGCCCGAGAGGAGGGGGACGAGGTTGACAAGAGGGGGGCAACCACCCAGGTCTGCATCTTGGCTCTGATGCTGCCTGGCTGTGTGGCTTCAGGCGGGTTACTTAACCTCTCTGTGCCTCTGTTATGGGGACAACATAACAGAGTTACTTCATAGGATCATTAAGAGGGTCGCAGGAGAAAAGACATCAAGGCACTCAGGCTTGTCAGGAGCTTAACACGCATCAGCTCCTAGGACGACATGGAAGGCTCACATGGTGTAGCTAGCGCCTCACCAGCGCTGGAGCCGTCCTGTCCGCCCACCATGTCTGCTGGCCGAGCTCCCCTGAGAAGGGGTTACCCAGCTGCTGAGGCTCCGGTGGATGCCTGTCTGCTTTGTTGCCTTGTTGCTCAGTCGCTCAGTGGTGTCCGACTCTTCGAGACCCCATGGACTGCAGGGACCAGGCTTCCCTGTCCTTCACCACCGCCCGGACTTTGCTCAGACTCGTGTCCATTGAGTTGGTCTGCCTGCTACTCAGCTTTAATTCCTCTCTCTACACGAAAAGCCGATTCCTTCCTGTCGGTCCTCAGTGGTGCTGGAGAAAGGCCAGTTACCCTCCTTGGGGATTTGACAGCTGTTATTACATCCCTCTTCAGTTCCTCTTTTCCAGGAGACATCACTAAAGTTCCCTGTGTTAAAGCTACTCTCCTGGGTTCCATTTTCCGCCTCTCTAGGGGGCTTCCCAGGTGTTGCCAGTGGTAAAGAATCCACCTGCCAAAGAAGGAGGCATAGGTCCAATCCCAGGGTCGGGATTTCCCCCAGAGAAGGGAATGGCAACCCACTCTAGTATTCCTGCCTGAAGAATCCCATGGACAGAGGAGCATGGCGGGCTATAGTCCCTGGAGTCGCAAAGAGTCAGACACGACTGAACACGCACGCACTCTAGCAACTAGCCGTCTGTAATCTGGGGACACCGGCTCGCAAACCCCAAACCAGAACCATTTGTGCCGACTGTCTGAACCGCACCATCAGTCGATACTCAATAATTTTACTGAACGGAGAGGTGCTCCTCTCTCCCCAAACGGGCCGCCTTGGCTTCGGAGAAATCAGCGAGGAGCCCAGTCTTGTTTTGTCACGGATCTCGTGAATTTGGGGCCACTTCCTTAAGTTCTGTTAGACTCAGTTTCCTTATTTGCAAAATGAAGATAATACTACTCAGCTACTGGAAAGATGTGGCAGGAATTAAATCATTCGACAGGCACAGCATTCAGCCCAGGGCCAGGCATGTAGTAAAGGCTCGATACACAGGAACACTGGCTGTTGTTTTCCTTTTTCTCTTTTCTTTCCTCCCGGCCTTCCTGAGCAACCTGTCCTCTTTGCTCAGCTTTCTTCCCTTTCTCTCCACCGGAAGAGCAGGAGCAGATGTGAGCTCTGCACAGCAGGAGAGGATATTCACCCGTAGCACCCAGATCCTGGCGATGTCAACCCCTTTGTTCTCAGAGGGGCAGATACACTCCTCCCAGGCTGATGGGGAGAGTCCCATGCGCAGCCAGGTTTGCGCCTGCCTTGGGCGCTGGACTCTCCAGCTGCATCTGGGACGTTCTGACATTCTGACAAGGTGAGGGTGTATCCTTGAGAATGTTCCAGACCAACAGCTAAGATGGCATTGAAAGGAGCCTGTGATGCCCCTGAAGTCACACTGCCCACCTACAGCAGAAAGGGAAATTACACCCTCCCTGCACCAGGCATTAATGAGTTTAGTTATATGCGCTGGTCGGGAGAGTTTTCTGTTTCAACCTGATTTCACTGCTTTCTTAGGAAATTAGAAACAGAAACAAGCCTCTCATTTTCAGACTGGAAAGTATGTGAACCTCGGAATCAGACGCCAGTGCAACTGTTGGGTCGTTGGCTTCTAATATGCACTTTAGACACATCCCCTAACTGCTCTGTCTCGTCCGTCCCGTGAGGCCTTGAGTCCTTGCAGCCTCCCTCCGGGCACACCTAAACAAGCCGCCAGGCACACAGTAGGTGCTCCAAGGATGCTCGTGAAGCATCGCCTGGCGCATCGGCACCCTCCTCAAAGCTCCCACTGCCTTTCCTCCTGCCTAAGGGGTTTAGACCAATTTAGAACTACTTTTCAACTAAGTGGCCATGCAAGGCAGACCTGGAGTCTCTTTTTATTTTCTGTTGGAGTTTCTGAATCCATTCTTATTTAATTTTCCTTTAAAGGCTCTCTGAAGCTGCTGCAATGCTTCTTGACAGGAAAGCGTGCAGGTGGGCAGGGACCGCAGGTTGTCACTGTTCTTGTCTTGAACCCCGAAGCCACCGGTAAACCAGCCGGATGGATGAAGCGGCTCCGAGATTGTCTACAATGCCTGAGTGAGAGCAACCGAGAACAGGCACTCCTTGGAGGACGGAAAGACAGCTCCGAGGTGAGGGGCAGTCAGAAAGCCAGCTGGGACTCTTCAGAAAGACAACGGTATGAAAAAGTTAAGTGGGGGGACCCTTACAGGTTAAAAGGCATGAAAGACAGGAAACAACCAGCTGTGATGTGTGGGGATCTGAACCGGATCAGGGAGGAGGCTGTCCAGGGAGACTGGGTGAGAATCTCTGCCCGGATCCCCTTGGTGGGCATGCCTATCTTTAGGGCCGGCTCGCTCCCTGGTCCTGCTCAGACCCAGCGGAGTTCTGTGGCCGAGGGGCCCACAGGGAGCCCCGCAGCCTGGCTACACGTGCACATGCCCTCGAGTGCCTCGGTTTGACTGTGAAGCCTCCATCAGCCGTGATGGTGCAGTGGGGCCAGGGGCGGGGAGGGCTCAGGAAGGCAGAGGGGCCTTGATCACCCACACTCACTCCACAGAGGGGTATCTGTCTACGAGCGACCCGGGGGTCCGGGGTGCCCCATCCTTACACTCTATCCGGATCTGCTCCAGCTCTGTCACCTCGGCGATGGACTCCTTCAGGTCTTCCACAAACTTCTGCATCTCGTCCAAGCCCAGGGCGCAGAAATGCAGCACCTGCTTCTTCTCGGAGCCCGAGAGCGGGGTCACCAGGGTGATGCCGTGAGAGTAATCTGGAAGCCAGACCCCAGCCACCGTGGGCCGTGAGCAGCTGCAGGTGAGGCCTGGGCCCAGGGGTGCCTGCCCCTTCCCCTCCCCTAGCCACATCCACAGGCGACAGACTTACACTCGTTCTCGAAGAGGTGGAACTGCATGCCCAGCAGGCCCACGGACCTGCAGAAGGTGTACGTGGAGGAGCTCTTCTTCTTGGGGCAGAGTTTGAGAATCTGTCCAAGAGAGGGAGACAGACGTGCACTGACGGGTGTGCACTCGTGGGATAAACATGCCTCACACTCCTGGATGGGCGGACACCCAGGGCCTCTGGTGAACACAAGTAAACCCACAGAAAGGGACACACACGCCCAGGCAGACTTACACACTTAGGATACATTCATACACACATATACACGTGACACAGACTTACACACTTAGGATATATTCACACACATGTATACACACATGTGTGCACACATACATACACACACACACAATATACAGCATGAAACAGTCCAGCAGCCCTTCCCACTGCATCTAGCACCCAGCCCGGACTCCCGGCCTGGTCTATAACCCCCACCTCATCTGGTCCCTGCTCTGCTCAGGCCAAGCTGTCCTTTCTGTGGCTTGAACAGGGTGGGTGGGTCCCCCTGTGGGTCTCTGCACCAACTATTTCCTTGCAGCTTCTCCTCACTTAATGCTGTGCTAAGCTGCTTCAGTCATGTCCAGCTCTTTGTGACCCCAGGAACTGTAGCCCACCAGGCTCCTATGTCCATGGCAGTCTCCAGGCAAGAATACTGGAGTGGGTTGCCATGCCCTTACCCAGGGGAATCTTCCAGTCCCAGGGATGGCACCCAGCTCTCTTAAGTCTCCTGTGTTGGCAGGCAGGTTCTTTACCACTAGCGCCACCTGGGAAGCCCCTCCTCACTTAGATCTTGACTCAAATATGGCCTCCTTAGAGACCCCTTCCCTGACCACCATTTCTAACAAACAAAAACAAAATGAAAGAAGAAAAATCCCAGCCTCAGGATGCCGGGGTTGTGGGAGGAGGACCCTCGGGATCCATAAGTCAATCAATGGGTCAATCCATTAATGCCTAACAAGCTGAAAGGCGAAGTGAAGAAATGCATATACAGGTGACGGCAGAAACTGGTACTTTTTTCCTTAACGGGGCAGTGAAGCGTCTCAACCACTGGACCGCCAGGGAAGTCCCCAGTATGTGTTTTGAGGATGAAGGACTGGGCAGTGAGTGGGCAGGCCACCTTTGAGGTGTGGGGACATCTGCACTGAATGAGGGGAGAGAGGGGGTCATACAAGGTCTGGGAGATGATGAGCAGAAAAAGTCAGGGTCTGAGATATGAACCCGGCAGCCTCAGGAGAATAGCTGGTGGGTCAGGGGGTGGGGATGGAGGAGAGGCATGGAGGGAGGTGAGTCCCATGGGTGGGTGGGCTGACTCTGCTGCTCTTTGGAGGGGGACCTCAGGTGTGATCGTCAGATGTGGGACAAGGTTAGAGGCAGTGCAGGGATGAGTCATGGATGGAGAGAGTGGTGGGGGGTGGAGAGGAGACAGAGACCAGACCCCATACACCCCTGCTTTCTAGCACTTAGAACAATGCCTGGGACACAGCTGACACTCACTAAATATTCACTCTATGGATGCCTGTGTTCAAAGGGCTTCCCAGGTAGTGCTAGTGGTAAAGAACCCACCTACCAACACAGGAGACATAAGAGACTCGGGTTCGATCCCTGGATCAGGAAGATTCCCTGAAGGAGGGCATGGCAACCCAGTCCAGTATTCTTGCCTGGAGAATCCCATGGACAGAGGAGCCTGGTGGGCTACAGTCCATGGGGTCACAGAGTCAGACATAACTGAAGAGCGAAGGCTGAATGCCGCACAGATGTACAGACATGCACACGCATGTGCGCCCACGTGCACACACACACACACACACACACACACACACACATGCCAGAACTCCCCTGGACCCAGGAACAGTACCGGCCGCTCTCAGACCCCCTGCACCTCCCAGGCTGCGGGACAGACGGACGTGCAGCCCTCTACCCTCCAGCCCCAGGTTTCTCATCATGACGGGGAGGCAGACGCTCTGGGACCTAGTCCATTCCCACCAGGGCCGGGAACCCGAGCAGATAAGCTCTGCGCCTTGGCTTCATAACCTACAGAGGAGGTTATGCTGTCTGCCCAGGCCGCCTCACACTGCAGGCTGTGCAGCGCCCTGGGGGAGTGGCCCCCGAGCCCCTCCCTGCTCAGCTCCTGGCTCAGCTGCCCGCTCACCACCAGCAGGTCGTTGAACAGGAACACCTCCCTCTGGTGTGCGGCCTGCTTCTGCAGCTTGTTCACATCCGTCACCTCGAAGAGTCGGCTGCAGCAGACCAGGCGGCGATGGGGCACCGAGAGCACCTGGGGGTACGCGGTGCTCAGCGGGGGGCGGAGGGGGCCCATGGTCGCGGCCGTCACCCCCAGCACCAGTTTCCAGAGGAGCAGATGCAGGCCTGGTTTGACCCTGAACCTCCCCTCTCCCCCCCGGGGCTCTCTCCCCTTCCTCGCGCTCCTTGGGGAGCAGGGCTGGGTAAGAGGGGTTCATGATGCTGGGAGGAAGTAAGAGGATAAAAGGTGGAGAAAGGACATTGAACAGCGTCTCCGGGGTTTCCCTGGTGGCTCAGTGGTAAAGACTCCACCTGCCAGCTCAGGGGACACAGGTTTGATCCCCGGTCTGGGAAGACCCTACAGGTTGCGGAGCAATTAAGCCCATGCACTGAAACCACCGAAGTCCGCACACCCTAGAATCCAGGCTCCACAACAAGGAGTAGCCCCTGCTCCCCACGACTAGAGAAAAGCCCCCACAGCACCAAAGACCCAGCACGGCCAAAAATAAACAAATAAACATTAAAAAGAAAGAAAGAAAGAAAAGAGCCTCTGGATCATTCAAGTCCCACCACTGTGCACCCCTCTCCCTCCGAGGCCTCCTCGAGGGCACCCCCACATTCTGGGATGTGCCTCTCTCGGCTGCACACCCAGACACAAGTGTGCAAGGTGGAGGGGGGGTCCCAGGGACACTGGGAACCTGCTCTAGTGTGTTAGCCAGCTCCAGGGGGGTGTCCACAATCCTGACAGAGGCTGGGACTTCAGCATGAAGGGCTCTAGCCATGAAAGGCTGACACCACATGAATGGGTGGAGGGGTCCAGCACAGAGCCTCCAACAAGGTCCCCAAACTGCCCCCTGAGCCAGCCAATGGGGAGGAGGAACCGGAGAGATGAGCATTGGGGAGATGGAGGCCAGACTTTTATGTCTGCGGTATATGGAGCTTCTGTGGACACCTAGAGAGGATTGCCCTTAAAAACCACTGCAAACTTGGAGCAAACTGTGACTCCGCCTACAGCTCAGGGGCACTCCAAGGGTTTGAGACCCCACGTCGAGAGCCTGCTTTAGCCCACGTCCTGTCTTCTCTTCAGTAGATCATCCAGGAAGCCCAAGGTCCGTCCCACCCCAACCTCCCTAACTGGCCTTCCAGAGGCTTCAACCCAAGAGCCCAGGCAGTCTTTCCCAGCATCTCACTTCTACCCCTCCCACTGCAGGAGCTGGTCAAGGCGACGATAAGGAGATAGGCAGATGGAAGGAAGAGGGTGCAAGGAAGAAAGGGAAGGAGCTGGAGACAGGGCCTCTGTGGCCAGAGGGGGAGGCAAGTGACCCCTCACCCTTCCCCTTTTCCCCGCCAGCTAAGCACTGTGACCCCACAGTGGGCACTTACAGTCTTCATGCCCACGATGGACTTCTCCACCTTGGTGACGTACGTGACGTGGTCCTCGTTCGACTTGAGCTCCTTCTGCTGAATCCTCTCGTAGATGCCAACCACCAGCTCCCTGGGGATGTCGGCACCGTCATCCACACCTAGGGACAAGGAGTGGGGACGGGACGGGGTCAGAGGGTTCAGGGGCTGGAGCCAGAGAGGGCAAGTCCACTACCTGAGTGACACTCCCCAAGGGTGGCCTTGATGTGGCCCTGTCCCTGCTCCAAAGCCTTCAACGGCTGGCTCCACACCCCTGCTAAATTAGAGATGACCTCCCTAGCCAGAGCACCTACCGTACGAGGGCTCAGCATGTGTCCCAGCCCCACCTCCAGGTGCCCCACAGCCACAGTCTCGGCTGCTACATCCCAGGCCTCCTCCTCATCTCTGATCACAGCCTCCGGGCTCCTGCCTTTGCTCCTCCTAGCATCTCCCACTCCGGCCCCGCCATGAGGGCACTGCCCGTGTGCTGTCTTGTCTCTTTCAGGCCCTCCCCTCCCCTCCATAGGGAGCTCAGTGATTAGCTGTCAGATGGTGAGAAGATCCCCTCCTTGCTGGGAGCACAAGGAGGGGTGGGACATTAAGTGAAGGAGAGCAGGGCAGCCCCCGCAGTGATGCAGTAACAAGACCACCAACCCATCTCCCACTTCATGGTAATGATCAGACTCTGGTGACAAGAAACACCAGCAGGAAGTACACCAACATGAAAACAACTTTCCCACCAAAAATAAACAAATAAACATTAAAAAGAAAGAAAGAAAGAAAAGAGCCTCTGGATCATTCAAGTCCCACCACTGTGCACCCCTCTCCCTCTGAGGCCTCCTCGAGGGCACCCCCACATTCTGGGATGTGCCTTTCTCGGCTGCATACCCAGACACAAGTGTGCAAGGTGGAGGGGGGGTCCCAGGGACACTGGGAACCTGCTCTAGTGTGTTAGCCAGCTCCAGGGGGGTGTCCACAATCCTGACAGAGGCTGGGACTTCAGCATGAAGGGCTCTAGCCATGAAAGGCTGACACCACATGAATGGGTGGAGGGGTCCAGCACAGAGCCTCCAACAAGGTCCCCAAACTGCCCCCTGAGCCAGCCAATGGGGAGGAGGAACCGGAGAGATGAGCATTGGGGAGATGGAGGCCAGACTTTTATGTCTGCGGTATATGGAGCTTCTGTGGACACCTAGAGAGGATTGCCCTTAAAAACCACTGCAAACTTGGAGCAAACTGTGACTCCGCCTACAGCTCAGGGGCACCCCAAGGGTTTGAGACCCCAGGTTGAGAGCCTGCTTTAGCCCACGTCCTGTCTTCTCTTCAGTAGATCATCCAGGAAGCCCAAGGTCCGTCCCACCCCAACCTCCCTAACTGGCCTTCCAGAGGCTTCAACCCAAGAGCCCAGGCAGTCTTTCCCAGCATCTCACTTCTACCCCTCCCACTGCAGGAGCTGGTCAAGGCGACGATAAGGAGATAGGCAGGTGGAAGGAAGAGGGTGCAAGGAAGAAAGGGAGTGCAAGGAAGAAAGGGAAGGAGCTGGAGACAGGGCCTCTGTGGCCAGAGGGGGAGGCATGTGACCCCTCAACCTTCCCCTTTTCCCCACCAGCTAAGCACTGTGACCCCACAGTGGGCACTTACAGTCTTCATGCCCACGATGGACTTCTCCACCTTGGTGACGTACGTGACGTGGTCCTCGTTGGACTTGAGCTCCTTCTGCTGAATCCTCTCGTAGATGCCAACCACCAGCTCCCTGGGGATGTCGGCACCGTCATCCACACCTAGGGATGAGGAGTGGGGACGGGATGGGGTCAGGGGGTTCAGGGGCTGGAGCCAGAGAGGGGAAGTCCACTACCTGAGTGACACTCCCCAAGGGTGGCTTTGATGTGGCCCTGTCCCTGCTGCAAGGCCTTCAACGGCTGGCTCCACACCCCTGCTAAATTAGAGATGACCTCCCTGGCCAGAGCACCTACCGTACGAGGGCTCAGCATGTGTCCCGGCCCCACCTCCAGGTGCCCCACAGCCACAGTCTCGGCTGCTACATCCCAGGCCTCCTCCTCATCTCTGATCACAGCCTCCGGGCTCCTGCCTTTGCTCCTCCTAGCATCTCCCACTCCGGCCCCGCCATGAGGGCACTGCCCGTGTGCTGTCTTGTCTCTTTCAGGCCCTCCCCTCCCCTCCATAGGGAGCTCAGTGATTAGCTGTCAGATGGTGAGAAGATCCCCTCCTTGCTGGGAGCACAAGGAGGGGTGGGACATTAAGTGAAGGAGAGCAGGGCAGCCCCCGCAGTGATGCAGTAACAAGACCACCAACCCATCTCCCACTTCATGGTAATGATCAGACTCTGGTGACAAGAAACACCAGCAGGAAGTACACCAACATGAAAACAACTTTCCCTGGGAGGTAGAAACCGAAGCAATAAACAAAGTCTTCTTTCTACTTCTTCTAAGTTTTCTTTTAACGACTATACACTCCTCTTTTCAAGAGGGAAAAATGAAAAATAAAACATCTTGGGCAAGTGCTCTCCAAGCAGTTTTCTTAAGTGTTGAGAGGACATTACACCTTCTATGAGCGACTCTCTGGATTGACCCCGTGTCTCCACATCTGAGCTTGGTTCTGAGTTGGGCAGATGAACCAAGAAGCACCCCCCAGGGCCCCTGAAAGAAGCCAGGCTACAGCCAAGAGGAGCAGGGCAGGGACTGAGCACACGGGGCTCCCAGGTGGAGATGCCAGGTTGCACACCTCTGCTCCCTCTGAACACCGCAGAAAAAGGAAGCGGCAGAGACGGGGGAAGAGGCGGGGGCAGCAGGGGACCTGAAAGTGGGTGAATGAGCACATGGATCAGCACACCTGGGAGGGTGGAAACGGAAACCAGCAGAGGGATTAGAAGGCTCAGAACCACCAAGCTCGCTGGAGCTGGCAGAGGCCTGGAGGTGAAGGTGGGCTCGAAATAGGAAGATCGGTTGAACATTAGAATAAAAGGCAGTTAGACATCCCTGCCCCTTCCTCCACTCCAAGCCTTCATTCTTTGGAAGGGTTGAACCAGGAACTCTGGGCTGGTGGACCCCAAGCACAACCAGTTGGAGAAGGAAATGGCAACCCACTCCAGTATTCTTACCTGGGATATCCTACGGACAGAGGGGCCATGGTGGGTACAGTCCATGGGATTGCGAAGAGTCGGACATGACTGAGCAACTTACACTAAGCATAACCAAGAGTGAGAGTCTGGGCGGAAAACTGGGGGGTGGAGCTGATGTCTATGCATCAGGAGACCCTCACAAGCCCACTTCCAACTTACACTAAGCATAACCAAGAGTGAGAGTCTGGGCGGAAAACTGGGGGGTGGAGCTGATGTCTATGCATCAGGAGACCCTCACAAGCCCACTTCCAACTTACACTAAGCATAACCAAGAGTGAGAGTCTGGGTGGAAAACTGGGGGGTGGAGCTGATGTCTGTGTATCAGGAGACCCCCACAAGCCCACTTCCCACGAAGCTCTCAGAGTGTTGGCAGAGAGACTCACCCCGTTCTGGGCCACAGATTGGACATTTCTGAGGGATTGAGCAGCACAAGGGAAAATATGTAAAGATATTGCAGTCACTTCTCCCAGTGAAACAACTTAATGAAATGTCGACACAAGAAAGCCCCCCAGTTGGTAACCCCACTTGGAGTTTTAATCAGCCTTTTAGGGGCTCACTGCTAAGTGTGGATGGACAACAAAGTTTCATCAACTGTGTATGGAAAGTCTCCAACACAAGACAGGGAAAGTACGAGGGGAACTGAAAAAGGAACTTAGAAGAAAGCAAAGAGAAACTCAAACAAACAAACAAGTGAAAACATATTATTCACATCTTCAGAGATACATAAGAGGATATTGCATCTACAAAACAGGAACAAAATGCTCTGAAGAGCAACACTTAGCAGAAAAGAGTTCTTGAGAATGAAAAAGATGACAGCAGAAATGAAAAGTTAAGCAGGAGATTTGAAAGATAAAGCTGAGGGCCATCTTCGAGAAAGTCAAACAAGAAGACAAAGATGGCAGACAGAAAGTTACCGTCAGAGGCTCAGACTGGCACGTCTAACATCTGAAAACCAGGAGTTCCAGGAACAGAGTCCAGAGAAAAAGGAGAGGGGAAATGATCAGATGCAATATATTTGGAGGCATGTGTTTCTAGACTATTAATAAAAGGAAGAAACTAGTTCCCAGCACAATGGGTAGAGAAAGAGCCAGAGAAGGCACACGATAATGAAACTCAGAACATGAAGGACTCCCCCGATGCCCGGCATGCTAGCCACCTCCTGGGCCCAGACAGCAGTGTCCAGTGCCCTTGACCACTGGGGTGACAGCCTTCCGCGGGGGACTGAGACTCTGAGCAGTGCTCCCGCCCCTCTGCTCCCCCTACCTCGCAGGTTCCGGATGAAGTCCTCCAGCATCATCTTGCGGTCGGGCTTGATGTTGGGACTGTACATGTCGGTGTTGAGCAGGATGATGGCGAAGGCCAGGATGAAGATGGTGTCCGGGTTGTGGAACTGCTGTACCACCTCGGGGTTGCACATGCAGTAGCGCTGGCTGCGGTGGGGACGCGCGTGGGGCGTGAGGGCCCCGCCCTCCCCAGGCTCCAGAGAAGGGGGCACTCGGGAACGTGTCCAGTTCTCTGAGGGTGCGCTTAGGCCTGGGGGCCTCCCTGTCACCCCACACTTTGGCCCCCACCCCCACCGAGGGGATGCACCCACAGACCCCAGGCACCCCCTCCCCACCAGTGCCAGCCTCAGACTGATGCTCAGGAAAGACCTGCTGGTTAAGTGTGGGGGACTCCTGCCCCCAGCTGGCAGCCCCCTACTTTCCCCACGCCCAGCGTATGTGAAGGCTGGGGAGGGCCCACCTGAAGGCCTCTATGAGCCGCTCCACCTTCTGGGCCTCGCCCTGCACGCGGATATGGGCCTGGAACTTGCGCAGGGCCTCGTCCAGCTCCATGGCAGAGAAGTCCATCTCGTCCACCACGCAGCTGAGGCCGGGAGGGGAGGGGGTTGTAAGGGCGGTGGGCCGGACCTCCCTCCACCAGCCAGAGCTGGGGAGGAGGGCGAAGCCCACCTGCTGGCTAGACAACCCCTCCTTGAAGGAAAGACAGGACTTGGGGGCCTGAGACCAACCAGGAGGGACTTACCCATGCCAGGGTCTCCTGCCATAGCCCAAGAGGACCTCCTCACCCCCTGCCTCCCCCTGCAGACAGCCCTGCAAGGTGCTGGCTGAGGGTCCTCCTCCCATTACCAGAACCTTCGACCCAGGGCGGTGGCCGGCAGTCCAAGGCCTCTGGCTAAGAGGATGCTGAGCCCAGACCTCCCGCCTCCAAATCCCAGGACCTCTCCTCTCAGCCCCTGAGCATCCAGAAGTCAGAGGTTTAAACAGTGAACAGTTTCCTCTCCTGTCCTCTCCAAGACCTGTCAGGGGCCTGGCTTTCTCCCTGCTTTCCGTTCCATTTGGGAGTCTCCTCTTACACCACCCCTCCAAGTGTCTCAGTGTTCGTAGCCGAGGAGCCTGCCCACCCCCAAGCAAGTGACAAGTCAGCTTCATCTCCTGGCCCCCAGCACATCCAGCCTTGCCCTCCTGGGGCACCCTATCCCCAGGGTCGTGAGCATTGATCAGGGCAGGAATCAGGGCCCCACAAAGCATTAGCCCCGACGCCCCCGAGGGCCGCAGAGGCTTCCATGTGGAGCTGACGTGTCCTTTTCCGCATACATGTGCCACTCCACTCTTCTCCGCCCTGGCCATCCCACACCCGCCCCATGCTGCCCTCTCTTAGTTCCCATACGATGCAGAGAGTAGGGGGGTTCTTCCTGAACACAGGGGAAAGAAATAGAAGGGTACCATCAGAGGATTGACAAATCCAGTTTGTTTGAAGATGGTTTCTCTGGTGTTGGGGGAGAATGAAATAACAGGGAAGGGCAGGAGCAATAGAGAAGCAGGGGCCATCAGGATGCACCTGCAGAGGGCCAGGCGAGAGACGGGGCTAAATCGGAACAAATCGAATGGACCTGAATGGACCAGGCCAGCTCAGAATCTGAGAGACATCCTAAAGGAAGAACTAGGGGAGGAGATGAGGGTTCATTTGGTTGATCTACAGGGTTCATAAGAGGCCACGTTAAATAATGGCGCTACTAGGCACAGAGGAGGATGCTGAGGGCGAGTCAGTCCCTGGGCAGCCTTCACCAGGCCACAGGCTGTGTTAGCAATTCTTGCAGAAAAGTCAGGGTGTACATCTTTTATGTTTTACCAAGTATTTAATATTTTAAGTTGACCTGAGTAAATATTTGATTATGTCTGGTTTGAGGAATTCTTCAGATAAAATGTCCCCACACCTAGCATCTCGCTCTTCTCAAAGCTGAAAGTATATACGTGTTTATTTGGTATAACCTGGACAAAGTACTGCAGTGGGTGTGAAGCAAAGACTGCTCATTCTGAATTCTCAGCAGCCCAGGAGGCTCTTTCCTGAGATCGGCCACCTCTGTTCCTGCCCACTCCGGTCAGCAGGCCCTGCTGCCTCTCCCTGGCTCAGGGTTCCACCCACCTCTCCCCTCCCCACAGCCTTTGCTAAGGGTCAAGGCCTCAGCATCTCACCACAACTGTGACTTCAGTAGCCTCTGGACCAGCCTCCCTGCCTCCAAACCATCTTCCGGAAGAACATTTCTAGGACATCCATGGCCCTGCTTATAATTTTTCCAGGGCTTCCCACACCCCCTGTAAGAAACTCGAGTTCCCCAGCAAAGCACAGCCCTGGTCGCTCCCAGTCGCCCCTGCCCCTGCAGCATCCTGGCTCTGTCCTGCAGCCTTGCTCTCCAATCATTGGATGTTCACCCGGGCTGCTCCTTTGTCCTGCGGCCCACCCCCTACCTCCAGGTCTGCGTCTAGATGTCCATCTCTCAAAGAGTCTTCCTCGACCTCCATGGTTCCTCTGCTGTGTCTCCCACCAGGCCACATGCTCCCAGATCCCCAGAGTCAATTTCTGCATTCCTAGCGGATATCTGAACTCAATAAACATTCCTGGGGTGGATGAATGAGTGAGTGACAGGACCAACCTGGAGAACATGAGCTGGAGAAGGAGCCCTGTGGCTGGGGCTTTGACCTGGTGGCCCAGATCAGCTGGACCTGACCCCCGGACACGGCTGCCAAGGGAAAGGCCAGTGGATTCCAGACCGCGGGCAGTGAGGCAGAGTGGAGTGCACACACTTCCCATTGTTCGGCCGCCTCTGCAGGCCAGGGAGTGATGAGAAACCCAGCCAGCTGGCCCTGATGACGCTGCTCCCGGGGAGATGTCTGGATCTAGGACATCTAGATCACCACCTGCCTGGCGAGGTGCTGCTGACAGAGGGTAATCCCGGTGGTAATCCCACTTAGGTCGGGGGGAAGCGGGGGCTGTGCCCTCCTTCTTGTGAGATTCTGCAGGGATGCGGCAAGCCCCTTGCAAGGGCTGAGGAAGCATAAACACAGACGCTCCCTGCATCTGTATAAACAGGTACAACCTTGCATAAAATTGCTCGTTAGCACGGATCCACGCATGTCGTCAGTCTGCGTTGCAGGAAAATGAAGCGTCGTACACAACTGTGATCAAAATGAATGTTGTCACCTCACTATTTTTTTTTTTAACGATAGCAAGACAGTGTCTGGCAGACAAAGGCACTGGATGAGACCTGAAAATAGGTAATGATGGCAGCAGGGATTTTTAATTGGCCAGAAGAGACTGCAAAGACCTGGAAGCTGAGCCTTGGGCCAAAGCTGGGAGAGGTGTGTGTGCTGCCCATGAGGGACTCTGCTCCAGGCGGAGTCGGGCCAGTTTCAAGATTAGGATGGAAAACGAAACCACCCACCACCATGAGCTGGAGGAACCCGGGTGTTATTTCTGCAGTTCTCGTCTCATACAATTCAATTAAAAATATCCCCATCCGCCGCAGAGTTATTTTCGTTAGTTGGAACTCATAACATGCCTAACGAAGGTCAGGGCCTTCTGCAAAAGGGCGACGTGGCCAACAAAACAAAGCTGGAGGAGGCTGACGCAGGAGGGCCTGCCAGGGTCCCTGGTGACGACACAGCGACAAAGAAAATCCCATTTGAGGGCCTCAGAGGGGATGGCTGCAGGCACCTTGAACCTGCCCCACAAATTGGGAGTCAGTGAGGATGCCGAGGCCACTTTCCTTTTGCCGGGCTAGCAGCCCCACCCGGTGGTTCTCACCAGAGCCACCTGGCAGGCTGATCAGCAAGCAGGGGGCAGGGCACCACCCCAGGGGTTCTGATGCCAGGGGTCTGGGCTAGAGTCTGAGAATTGATGTCGCTAACAAGTTTTCAGGGGCTCTGCTGTTCAAGACCCATGCTCTGTGCCGATGACAGGGGTGGATCAGGCAGAGGTCAGGCCCTTGGTGTCAGGCATCCTTGGGTTTGAATCTTAGGCTTCCGTGGTAGCTCAGTTGGTAAAGAATCCATCGGCAATGCTGGAGACCCCAGTTCAATTCCTGGGTCGGGAAGATCTCCTGGAGAAGGGATAGGCTCCCCACTCCAGTCTTCTTGGGCTTTCCTTGTGGCTCTGCTGGTAAAGAATCTGCCTGCAATGCGGGAGACCTGGGTTCAGTCCCTTAGTTGGGAAGATCCCCTGGAGGAGGGCACGGCAACCTACTCTAGTATTCTTGCCTGGAGAATCTCCATGGACAGAGAAGCCTGGTGGGCTATAGTCCAAGGGGTCACAAAGAGTCAGACGCTACTGAGCAAATTTCACTTCACTTCACTTCCACCATATAACTGTTAGGTTCCAGTTGCTTAGCCTCGCTGGGCCTCACTTTTCTCATCTCTAGAATGGAGCTAACCCTGTAACACCTAGTTACAGGTAACATCCCTGTAACCCACCAGTGGGCAGGTGGGGTTATGGGTTTTAGAAGAGACGATGTATGTAAAGCTCTCAGTTTATAACAGAGTATAAGAAACAGAGAGTTCCCAACTTGCAGTTGCCAAGGCATAGGGGAGGGAGGGATAGACTGGGAGTTTAGGGTTGGTAGTCACAACTATTACATTTAGAATGGATAACCAACAAGGGCCTACTGTATAGCCCAGGGAATTATACTCAATATCCCGTGACAAACCATAATGGAAAAGTATATATAAAAGAATGTCTCTATAATGGGGTCACTTTGCTATACAGCAGAGATTGGCACAACATTGTAAATCAGCTATACTTCAACAAAAAATAAAAAAAATAAAAAAAAATAAAAATAAAAAATATATGTGTGTGTGTGTTTAGTTGCTCAATCATGTCTGACTCTTTGCAACCCTATGGACTGTATGTAGCCTGCCAGTCTCCTCTGTCCATGGGATTTCCCAGGAAGAATACTGGAGTGGGTTGCCATGTCCTCCTCCAGGGGATCTTCCCAACCCAGGGATCGAACCCAGGTCTCCCGCATAGCAGACAGTTTCTTTACCTTCTGAGCCACCAGGGAAGCCTATATATATATATAGTAACTATATATATATAGTGACTCAGACAGTATATATATATATATATATACAAATATATTTTTAAAAAGGAAATGAGAGCTCTTGTTAGGAACCAAATCAGAGCTGATGTGCCCGGTGGTTAGTGTCTACTAGCAGAGCTTTAAACACCCTTGCCATCATTGCCAATTAACTCTGCCTGAAAATCCATCACCAGACCCATCAACTGTTTATAACATAGTCCGTCAGAGAGAGGAAACAGAGTCGGCTCAGACCAATGGAGGTTTGTGGACCAGTTCCACAGCTCTGCCTTCTTCCTAGATGAGAGGGTTGGGGCCAGCAAATAAAGGTGCATCAGGGATGGAAGGGGCTTCTCGGGTGGTGCTAGTGAACCCACCTGCCAATGCAGGAGACACAAGAGACGTGGGTTTAATCCCTGGGTCGGGAAGATACCCTGGAGGACAGCGTGGCAACCCACTCCAGTGTTCTTGCCTGGAGAACCCCATGGACAGAGGATCTGGCAGGCTACATACA